AGAAGACCAGAGTGCAGCAGGCTTCTGCAAAGAGATCCAGCACGGCCCAGAGGTTTTCCTGTGTGCGCAAGGGTGGTGCAGGCATCAGTGTATTGAAGGTCAAGGATGGTTGTTTTAAATACTTTGGTTTTGAGTGAAAACATCCCAGGTTGAACAGTCCTCTATCCATTCAGTTGATCTGAACTGGGGTCAAGCCAGGACATGTCATTGCCCCAACTCTGTTCTCCATTTTTTGACAGTCATCCTGGTCCACAACAGAGCAGTCACAGTCACCTGATCGTGAAGAAGCCTCAGGATCTTGATGTACTTTTCAGGACATCCAAATCTGGCCAGTACTTTTCACAAGGCTTCACAATTGAGGGAGTCAAAGGCCTCAGTAGGGTCAGTGAAGGCCATATGTGGGCCCTGATTCATAGATGTTTGGGTCGGAAGGGACCTGAGCAGATCATCGAGTCCGACCCCCTGCCCTGGGCAGGAAAGAGCGCTGGGGTCAGACAACCCCAGCCAGATGCATGTCTAGCCTCCTCTTAAAGACCCCCAAGGTAGAGGAGAGCACCACCTTCCTTGGAAGCCCGTTCCAGATTCGAATGATGTTGTTCCCGATACTCTTCTTGGACCTGGTGGGCGACAAAGATCATGTCAATTGCCGCATGGGGTGGTCCGAAATTCACTCAGATTCTGGCAGGACTTCCTCAGCAAGAGGCAGAAGATGGTTCAAGAGGATGTGGGCAAGGATTTTCCCTGCTGTGGAAAGGAGGGCGATACCTCAATAGATCCCACATGCAAACTTATTTCCTCTGTTGAAGTGCCCTAAAGCAGTCGCAGCGCATCCCAGAGGCCACCGAGGAACGGTCTCCCCAAGCCCATGACTAGCTGCTACGGCCCAGCTGGCAACAGGACTGCTTCTCCATGACCCGCTGTGCATACAGCATCTCCCAGGCTGGATCCGATACTGTGGCCTGCAGAGACCCCCCCGCATGAGCGTCCTGGGCTCTCTCAAGCCCAGGTCTTTCTTCCAGATGGGAGGTCATGTGAGATATGAGACTCCCTGGTAGAGACGACACAGCTTTTCCCGACACGACTGGGCCCGCTGGCCTCATGGACCTGCATCACCCCCTGGTCTCCTGTCTGCAGAGACCCTTGCAGCTCTGAATGCATGCGAGGCCCAGGCTGCGTGGATGCAGCCTGCAGGGGAGACTGGTTCTTCCTCCTCCAGGGCACTGACAGCTTCCCTGTGGGGGGAGCTGGGGGCACATGCTCAGGGGAGCCCTCCATTCCTTCTCCCCAGTCACCACCCCTGTCGGTCGGGGCCGGGTGCAGGTTGCCAAGACTTCCATGTGGCCTGTGGGTCCCCTGGAGCCTGTGGCCGTGTCCCAATGCACAGTGCAGAGTCTCAGGATAGGGCTGCATAGTGCAGGTGCTCCCCAACCCCACTGTAGTGGTTCTGCAACCATCAGCCGGATCCTGGAAGGCAATCACATCCGTGGCACCTCCAAAGCCCGGTCCACCCTGCTGCTGTGTGGCTTGTCGCAGAAGCCCACAGAGCCAGAGTCGCTCAGCCAGTAGCCGGGGGATCGGCATGATGCTCCTTCAAGCCAGCAGCAGCCGGAGCTGGGGCACCCAGTGACAGGCCTCCACATCTGAGCAGCGCAGACGCCCGGGGGCTGCACCACCACCATCAGAGTGTTGCACAGGCGCAGCCCAGATGGCAGCCAGCCTCTGCGCTCCTTTCCTAGTTCCCAGAGCCACAGCGAGGACCTGCCTGGGTGAAGCCCGTGTTTGACCCTTAGGGGCATCAGCTGTGGCTCCCTGCCCTCCTGCAGCAGACATGGGAGCTCTGTCTTGGGCCTCCTGTCCCTCCCGCAGGCGGGGACCGCTGTGCCCATGGATGCCTCCTCAGGGTCCTCTGGCAACTGAGAAAGGCACCGCCCAGAATGGTGTGAGCGGAAACAGCCGCCGTTCCCCTTCCCCACCTGGGCATTGGCCAGGGATCTGCCCACGGGCCCCCCTGCACCTCGTGCCTGGGACCCAGCCTCCCTGCAGCCCACAGCGGTCTCTGCTGACCACGGCACCATGCGGGACAAACTGCTCTGCCCCACCTGAGCAACCCCCTGGGGAGCCCCTGCCTCCCTGGGCATCCCCCTCCCATGCCTCCTGGGGAGCCCCTGCCTCCCTGGGCATCTCCCGCACCCCACTCGGGAGCCCCTGCCTCCCTGGGCATCCACCTCACAGCGGTCTCTGCTGACCACGGCACCATGCGGGACAAACTGCTCTGCCCCACCTGAGCAACCCCCTGGGGAGCCCCTGCCTCCCTGGGCATCCCCCTCCCATGCCTCCTGGGGAGCCCCTGCCTCCCTGGGCATCTCCCGCACCCCACTAGGGAGCCCCTGCCTCCCTGGGCATCCACCTCCCATGCCTCCTGGGGAGCCCCTGCCTCCCTGGGCATCCCCCTCCCATGCCTCCTGGGGAGCCTCTGCCACCCTGGGCATCCTCCTCCCACACCCCCTGTGGAGCCCCTTCCTCCCTGCCCTGCCCTCCTGCATCCCTGGGGAACCCCTGCCTCCCTGGGCCCCCTACTTCTGCTCCTTGGGGAGCCTCTGCCTCCCTAGGCATCCCCCCTGCATCCCTGGGGAACCCCTACCTCCCTGGGCCCCCTACTTCTGCTCCCTGGGGAGCCCCTGCCTCCCTGGGCATCCCCCGCCCCGGGGAGCCCGTGCCTCCCTGGGCCCAAGTTTTGCCCCAGCACAGCTGCCGGGTGCTGTCCTTCCTCCTGCGCCTTGAGCACCGGCCACTTGAGACTGCCCCTTGGCAGTGCCAAAGCAAGAGAACTTGGTGCTGTGCTAGCTGCTCCGCTGCTCACTGTAGTTGAGTCTCTGGGTGTCCCCAGCCCGCTTCCATGGCAAGCACGGTCTCAGGGTCCTCTGTCCTGGTGCACTTCCTTCCCCTGGTCCTCACCAGGCCTCACTGGCTCACAGGACGCTGGCCACTGAGCTGTGACTACTATGAAAAGACCGGGCCCGGTGGGGAATTCAACAGGCTTTTCCTAACACGAGCGAAGCCAGAAGGTGCGGAGGTGTTGGGCAGAATGGTGTCATGCCCGACATCGGCTGTGCCGCCTGGGCTGGGCTCCACTCCCTGGCATGGCCAGGCTGGACTGCGTCTGCGTTCCTACAGCCCATCCTGCAGGGACAGCCCAGCTTGCCCATGGCAGGGCTCTGTCCTGCTGCCTTTTCTTGCTGCTGGCCCAGCTTGTGCATAGGTGTCTCTGCTCCTGTCCCTGCCCTGGCTGCTTGTGCTGACAGCTCTCCCTCTCTCTTTGCTTGTGCTGCTTGGATGCTGCTCTGACTCTGCCCCGTCCCCTGGAAGGAGAGGATGCGCAGGGAGCGGGAGGCAGCCACGCAACAGCTGGAGGAGGAGGCTGAGGTGAGGAGTGCGGGGCAGGGCTCATGGTCTGTGCTGCCCAGGTGGGCAGAGCCGATACCTCCTCCCCACGGGCAGGGCCCTGCATGGGGACAGGAGAAACGAGGGGACTTGGGCACAGGCAGGGGCATTTCCTTGGGGCACAGGGCCAGTGCCTTGCCCACAGCACCATTTGAGCCAGTGCTGCGGAGGCTTCCCCAAGCAGAAGTGTTTGGGCTGTGGGAGGGCAGTGTCCGCAGGAAGTGGGAACCTCCGGCAGCATTTCCCTGGAGATGAGGCTGGGATTGTCGATGCTGCCCAGCCCACCCCAACCCCCTCACATGGCCACCTTGCCTGGCTCCTGCCCTGACCTCTCTTTTTTCCCTCTCCAGAACATCACTGGCGAGCCCCTGAGACTGGACTATCGGACCCTTGCGGCTTTGCCCAGCAGTGGCTTGCAGAGAGTCCCCCGTGCTGTAAGTGGGGGGTGCTAGGGACACAGGTCGCTGCAGGGGCAGCTGGGGTCACTCTGCTCCACCTGGCTCCCTGCTCGGGGAGTTCCCACTGCCCCTTCTGTTGCCCTGGAGCCTGCCTCTCTGTCTGCCCAGTCCCTGCCTCACCCCCATCCCCACCCATCCTCATCGCCCCTAAGCCCTGCCTCCCTCCTCTTCTCCCACTGACCTGCTCCGTATCCCCCACCATCACATGCCAGCCACCCACCTGGGGCCTTCTGTCCCCTGCCCCCACCCTCCTGCTGGGGTCACTCACTCGCACAGTGAAGCCCCGTCCGGGAAGAATCCCCGGTATTTTTAACATCTCTCCATGTGACCGGGCAGCTGGAAGTAGTGCGGGGGGAGCCCTGGGGAAGCAGCTGTCTCTGCCGGATGGCTTGTGAGTGCCTTGCTGGGGGCTGGCTGCCCTGTGGCCCCTGCCCCAGCCTGGGAGCTCGGGAACGCAGGGCTGAGCAGGCTGCTGTCCCGGGATGTGAGATGGCAGCAGCAGCATCGGGGCAGGGGCAGGCCTGGTCCTGTCTTCCCTCGGCGGTCCTGTGTCCCTGCAGGTGATAAGAAGGGCTGAGGCAGCTCTGGGTCCCCCCCTGAGCTGCAGGCCAGCACCCTGCAAGGGTGTCCATAGCCCCATTTGTATCTCACCATTTGAAGCGCAGCCCTGGGGGTTTCACCCCAGCAGTGCGCAGGCCCCAGCCTGGACTTGTGCCCTCCAGCTTTGTTGAGTGCCCTGTGCAGTGGACCCATGCTGAGGGGGCAGCTCCTTCATAGGCTTTAATGCTAGTGGGGGCTGTTGTGCCCACCTGCCTGCCTTCCAGCATGGCGCAGGCTGGAGCCCCTGGCCTGGGATTCCTGCGTCCAGCTGCAGCTCCCTCAGTCTGCTAGAAAAGGGCATGGGGGATCCGTCTCTCTCCTGCATAATGTGCCCCATTGGCTAGTTAGTCTGCACTTCTCTCTGGGCTCTCTCAGTTTGACTTCTGGCTATCAGATCTGACTCTTGCTGGCTGGGGTCGAGAGCCCGGCTGCACTGGTCCCTGCCCTGGGCAGGCCGATGGCACGGGAGGCGCCAGCACCATACTGCTTCTGTGGAGCCCCTGGCACAGGGAAGGGGCCTTCTCTTGGGCAGGGCTGGAGCGAAGACACAGCTTTACCAGTATCTTCTGTCGCCGGGAATAGAAGCCGTTGCATGACTGATAAAAATAACCCAGGAGAATGGAAGGGAGGGGCGGGAGCCCAGCCCAGGAATGCACTTCAGCAGCAGCCACTGCCATGAGGTGGGGGGTCGACACCCGCACGGGTGGATGCGCCTGGGCACCCTGCAGATCAGGGCACCCTGCACGTCCCCCGGCCTGGCCCCATCCTGCCTCGGTGGCACTCTGCACTGCCAACCAGTGGCGGGGGCAGGTGGGGTGGGAGCAGTGGGGTCCCTGCTTGTTCCCCACTCCTTCTCCTGGGGTAGTGATAGAGGCGAGGAGGTTTGCTGACAGAGCAACCCCAGGAGCCTCCTTGTGCGACACGGCTTGTCCTGAGTGCATTGGGTGTTGGGGCATGTGCCAGTTCCCTGCCAAAGTCCGTCATAGGTGCCAGCACACCTCAGCAGCCACCTTCCCCTGTGCTGTGCTGTGGCAGCGTCCCATTCACCCTTCAAACCAGCATGATGGTGCTGCAGCTTTCCAGCGTGGAACCAGCTTCAGACCCTGTTGGAACTGCATGAGGCAGTGCTCTGCTGTTGCCGCCGGGAGGGTGCGGTGCAGGGGCGGGGAGGAGGCTAGCAGGAATTTGGGAGCCTGTCAGCTGCCCTTGTAGTCACCAGCCACCCAGCCCTGCTGGAGAGCTATTTTTGTAAGTCCTGCCCTGACTCAGGGACTGGAGAATGTGATCCAAGCACAGGGCAGGCAGCTGGGCTGGGTGCTGACAGTCCCCGCTTCTCTGGGGAAGGCACTGCCTGGAAACCCAGAGACTCTGCCAGTGGGAGCCTGGGCTCTGCACGTTCCCGAGGAAAGGTCAGTGCTTCTCTGGGCAGGGGATGGGTGGAGCCAGGGGAGACCTGGGGCCCTTGCAGTGGTGGACATGGCCCCTTTCTGGCCATCTGGCAGTGTCTATGCAGCCATTGGGAGCTCATGTTAGGGCGGCGACTGCAGCCCACTTGATTGTGCTGAGCTGCTTCTGTGCACCTGGTCATGAGAGGCTGGGCTGCCCCAGCCGGTGTGGCAGGCAGCTCTGGTGCCATGCTGCGCCCATGCCTGGCAGGCTGTGCACACACGGCCACACCGAGGGGCTGGGTGGAGCTAGGGCTGTTTCCTTAATGTTCAGCCGGGAGGTTCTTTGGCGTGACCTCCGGGGCAAGCTGTGCATGCGTGGGCACGTGGTGTGAGCGCGGGGCCCAGAGATGCACAGAGAGCCGGATGCACGGGAGTGCTGGCACGTGCATTACACGCAGACAGGCCGTGCCCAGGGGCTGTGCCGCGGGGCCTGCTCAGTCTGTTGTACGGGAGGTGGTCTACGTGTTCAGCACAGGGCTGGTGCAGGGGCACCGGGCCTGGGAGCCAGCACTGGGACTCTCCCCTCTCCTGTGCATTCTCCCTGCTCTTCTCCCTCCTCTGCCTGTTCTCTCCTGCTGTTTCTGACCTTCTGTTTCCCTCTCAGCCCCCTCAGTGTGATAGAGCCAGCTCCAGAATGGAGAGCAGCGGCACTGGGCCGTCCCTGCCAGGGGCTCAGGACAGCCAAGACTCCAACCCAGAAACAGCCGCAGGCCTGACCCGCCCTGCCACGGGCGCACCTCAGGACCCTGCCTCACCTGACCAGCACCCCGACAGGGCCGCACCTGTCCTGCCGGGCGTGCAGGAGCTCGCGGGCGGCCCACTGCCCAGCGACCAGCAGTCAGAGACGCAGGAGTGCATGGTCGACTCTCAGCCCATCCTCTTCAGTGAGAACCCGTTTGTGGTGGCCAACCGGAGGGGGAAGGCGGCAGGCAAGGCCTGTCTGGGGGGCCCTCCCCTGGGCTATGGCAGGGGGGGAGTGCTGAAGACCAACCTCTACTCCAAGGCAAGCGCCCTGCAGCATGCTGTGTGAGGCATGTTGTCGCGCCCACTGCAGCCCACCCGCGTGCTACTAAACTGAGGGGCATGCCCTGCCCATGGGGCAGGCGGTGCAGGGGCTAACACCACCTAACACGGGCGTGACGAGTGCCGCATGCACCCCGCACCCCAAGTCCACTGTGGCTGGGACATGTCAGGGAGGACGTGTTCCTGAAGGCATGTATGTTGTGGGGGGGAGGTGTTTTTCGCATTGTTTTTCCGTCGCTTTGCTGTCTTTCGCTTTGTGGTGCCGTCACACTCGTACCGCGGTTCCCGTCCAGGCGCACGGACCCTGCGTCAGCACAGGGATGGCCCAGCCAGCTCACGGGGGTCTGTGCAGCACGGCTCACGTGCCGCCAGGACCTACACCCTCCCAGACAGAGGAATCCTAAGGCGAAGGTCGGGTCCACAGAGCTCTGCCTCCGTTTTGCTTGGTGCTGGGCGAATGTGCGCCTAGGTACAGGGCTGTGAGCAGCAGTGGGACTTCCACCTTGACCCCTGGTCAGCCGTTTGGTTTTTGCCTGGGCCGTGGGAGACCTGGGTCCAGTTCTGCCCTACTGCAGACCCTGTGTGGCTGCAAGCAGATTTCCAGTGGTGCTGAGGTGTCTGAAGATAGAGAAGCACCAGGACCAGCTCCAGTGCAGCTCAGCATCACCCCGGGGCAGGCTTGTGCCCGCCTCGCTAGGTACTCCTGCGAATGCCAGGGACGCCCATCTGCATCCCCTGTGAGTCCAGCCTGCGACGGAGGGCAGCCCGCAGGGGCCATGGGGGCACGCGCTGAGGCCATGGCGCTGGGAGATGTGGCAAAGGGGTCAGGGGCAGGTGTGATAGGGAGCGGGAGCAGCCCAGGCTCTGTCCCTCCTTCCAGGTGGAGTCTCTTGCTGCCTTGCCATGGGCGTTGGGCTTGTTAGCACAAGGGCATGCAAGCAGAACAAGGGGTCAGCCGGACTTGGCTTCGGTGCATGTAGCCCAGCGTGTGAATGAGAAGGGGCCTGTCTTGCCGCTCCAGGCAGCGTGACTGCCTCGTGGTGGCTGAGAGGGGTCTGTGGGGGAGGAGGAGGCTGTTGGAGGGCAGGGCTGTGCAGCGCTTTGCTTGTCCTGATGGCAGAGCCTGTAAAAACAATTGGGGGATGACTCAGGATTTGGGGGCTTGGTCTCAGGCTGGGACTGTTTGAGGGAGGCAGTCATCCCTGCTACAGCAACCAGGACCCGTGGCTGCTGCTCCAGCGTTGCGCCCCGCCTGCTGCCCCCATGCCAGTCGTAAATTGTGCTGCTGGGCACTGGTCCTCGACAAGCTGCTGGTTCTGTTCCCAGCCGTGCGGGGGCTGCGCCAGGTGGCGGTGCTGCCCTCCTGCTCCTGGTCTCAGTGCCAGGCCGGACGCCCAATCATTCATGGCCTGGTCTTGTCTTTCTTGCAGGCTCCTGCAGGCGAGGCCGGGTCCGGGAGCTCCAGGCGAGAGGCCCCCTACTCCCCCAGCAGCCAGCAGGTGAGTCCCGCATGCAGGGCAGGACGGGCTGTTCAGAGCAGGCGTGGGGCCCGGCGCGCGTCAGCATGAAAACCGGGAGCAGGAGACCCCACTCGCAGGCGGAGGCAGCCTTCTGCGTGGGAGCAGGGCTTTTCTCTGGCTGGGGGGAGGAGGAGTGCACGCTCCGTGGCAGGGAGGGAGGGGTGGAGCTGGAAGGTGTCTCCTCTCTCCAGATTTATGCCAAGCACGAGAACAGGAGCAACCAGGCCAGAGCTGCTGCCAAGCGCGGTAGCACAGGGGCCGGGGGGGCCGCGCAGGGGCGTGGTGGTGCCTCTGTACAGCACCAGTGAGGTTGGTGGGCCCCGTGTCCAGGTCTGGGGCTGCACTGTGGAGCAGAGGGTTTGGACCTTGACAGGAACAGGCCTTGGGTAAAGGCTACAGGAGTGGCCCCGAGTGTGGGAGACCTGCCTTTCGGAGGGTCGGCTGGGCTGGCTCGGCGCAGGGCACCGCCCGCCCCAGGTTTGCCGGTGGCCTGAGCCCAGCGGTGGGCCAGGAACGTTCCCCCCCTCATGTCAGTAATTAGCAGTGGCTTCCACCATGGATGGGAGGGGAGCCCATCTCCTAAACCCACGACTCTGGACTTCTGGATGCATTAACCGCTCCTCCCCTGGCTGTTCCCGTCGTCTGTGCAACTGTCCAGTTGTTCTGGGAAGCGCTGAGCCCTTGGCCCCATGCACAGCCTGCCACAGCGAGCTCCGCAGGCCTTGTCCTGCCTGGTGCAAAAGCCTACACGTGGTTGGTTTTGAACGTTGTGCCTGTCGCGCTCTCAGCGGCCTCGTTGTTGTGTGCTGTGGCAGCTTGCTGTGGCCAGAACAACCCAGCTTGGGTCTGAGGCGAGCCTGCGATCCAGACCTGGCCACTGCTGCCACCACATCTCCCCACTGCCCGGCCGTCAAAATGCCTCGAAAGCCCCTAAGCTCTGTGGGTGGATGAAATGGGCCCACGGGCCGGATGCATCCCATAGGTCATAGGTTGCTGGCCCCTGTGCTGTGGAGTGAGGTGAATTGAAAATTGTGACCTGCCTTCCCCCCCAGTCACAGGATGTCCTGTCCTCTCAAGGGCAACTGTTCCCAACCCTTTCAAGCTCCCTTCCTGAGAGAGGTTTCCTAGGCCTTAAACCACCTTTTTCGAGGCCTTCCAACCCCCCTCAGAGTCTAATGGCTTCTTTCTGAGTCCAGGGCATCGCACAGGGCACCGTGTGCTGGGGGCACTGTGTCCTTTACTCTAGAGGTGTCAAAGATGCAGCCCATGGGCTGGATCCGGCTTGTGGAGCTGCATCACGTGGGCCCCACTCCTGCCTATGGGTCTCAGTGACTGCAGGTAGCACGCAGGGCATGGCAGATGGCCTCATGCTGCACATGGCACCCGCTTCAGCTCATGTCCTGGAGCAGCAGAGCGGCGCTGCATGTGGCACAGCTCTGGCAGGCCGTATGCTGCTCCGGGGCTGTGCAGCACCCAGCAGCTGCTCCGGGGCTGTGCAGCACAGCCTTGGAGCAGCCAGAGCAGGACCTGGCTGCACGCGGCACCTGAACCAGCTGCCCCAGGATACGCACTGGATCCAGAACGCAGAGCTGGTCTGAGTCTGGTCCAGTCCACTGACCGGCCCTGCTTGGGCTGGGTGAGTTTGACACCCCTCCATTACTGTAACGACTTCTGAACAGTCTCCATCCTGCTCATGCTCCAAGACGATGCATTTGCACTTGTGAGGGCAGCTGCGTGCTGGGTGGGCACCTGCCCGTGGGGATGCTGCTGTCCTTGTGCAGGCGCCTGGTGCACACGTGTCCAGATTCCCTTGGCACAAGAGGCAGGGGAGTCCCAAGCACCACTTGGTTCCTTCTGGGTGAATGCAGCCACGAGGCAGGACTCGTGGGGCTTGCACGGTGTGGTTTCCTCACGGCTGTTTCGCTGCAAGCAGGTGTTCGGCAGTTCGTGTTGGCTTGCTGTCTTGATGCTGCTCCCGTCCTTCTCAACAAGATGGAATCTGATCTGGTGCCAGGATCGGAGGCAGTAGCTGCCTGCAAATCTCCAGGTTTCTGGACTTCTGTCCGTGCAAGGCATGAAAGCTTCTGAAGGGTGGGCACAGCAGGGGCTGCCCCATCTAGATGGGCCTGCTGTACATCCTCTCCTGAGACAGCCCAGAGGGTGGAGTCTCATCTGGACACATTGCTGCTGGAGAGGTCAGTGCTCCCCACTTGAACCCGGAAATGCCAGGGGCAAAAACGTCTGGACACAAAACATCAGAAGTGACCTGCCTCTCACTCCAAAGGCTGAAATAGGTGTTGCCCCACATCTGGTGAAGCTCTGCGGGACAGAGAGGAAAGAGCCTGTAGCTCGCAGCAGGAAGAGGTGTCAGTTTTCTTCACCAGGTCTCCATGAATCTGCCTGTTCCTCACTTGGGGTGGCAAGCATGAGGCCCCGAAGATGTCTCTCTGTCAGGCACCAGCCACTGTCTGCAGCTTGGAACCTGCCCCCTGGCATCGCGGCCCCCAGGGGAGCTGTTCTCCGCACCACTGAGGCCGGAGCCCATGCTGCCCACTCTCCTGGCTTTGAGGCTGCCTGACTGAAACCAGTCCCGCACAGCCTCCAAGGGTCAATGGGTCTCATCTTTGAGACTCCCAACTCCTGTGTACTGATTGTTGCAGGCACTGCCCCAGGGCACAGCTCTGTCGCAGTGTGCCTCCAGCTGGGAGCTCTCCAGAAAGATTGCCCATTCTGCTTCGTGGGCTCCGAGTGCCGGTGAGAGCTTTGCAGATGTGTCCCATGGAGTTGGGCTGTTCTGGCAGGTACCCGCTGACTCCAGGGGATTAAGTGTTGAGCTCCATTACCTAGAAGTAGAGCTCAAAGAGCACCCTGGTATCTTCCCACTTGGTCGCCTCCCATGTATGCCACCAGCACGTTTGGCCCGACAGCAGTGCTTCGCACTAGGAGGCCAGAGTCTGCACCTGAGTCCTGGACAAGATCTTTCTCCAGCACCTCACAAGGTTTTGCAACCAGCCCCACCTGCTCCTCTCAAACAGAGTGGACATGACTCTGTGAAGAGCTGCTGTACAGCATTTGTGGGCAACTTCTGGAGACCATCTTGAGCGTATCACGTGGTCCAACTGGAGATGGAAATGTGTTGATCATGGATTCCCAGAGCCTATGATAATGTGTATGGGGCTCCCAGGTTCTGCTCCATGTCCATACGGCTGTGGACAGAAATGAGGTCAGCGCCCCAGTAGCATCTGTGAACGACAGGAAAGCAGCGGGTCTGGGGCTGAGGTGCGTGCAGCTGGCTCCAGACTCCAGACAGAGCGGTTGCACGGGCTTTCCTGCTGAGTTTGGGACATAGGATGGTCCCACAGGACCCACACACTGCACGCTTCCTCAGGACCCATAAGGGCCAATAGAAGGATCCGCTTGCAGTCCTTACAGACGGGCCTGGCACCTGGGCACAGCTGGCAGGATCCTGTCTTTGATTCAGCTCAGTGGATGGGAAGCTTCTGGGATCCCTGTGCGGGTTCATAGATCCATAGATTGTACGGCCAGAAGGGACCTTGGGAGATCATTGGGTCCAGCCCCCTGCGCCAAGCAGGAAAGAGAGCGGGGTCAGATGACCCCAGCAAGGTGACTGTCCAGTCTCCTCTTGAAGATGCCCAGGGTAGGTGATTGCACCACGTCTGGAGGGAGCTTATTCCACAGTCTGGACACCCTGACTGTGAGGAAGTTTTTCCTAATGTTGAGCCTGAATCGATCTTCCAGGAGTTTGTGGCCATTACTCCTGGTTTTCCCCTCAAGTGCCCTGGTGAACAGTTGCTCACTGAGCCCTTGATGTTCTCCCCTGGTGTAGCAGTAAGCTGCTACCAGGTCCCCGCTCAGCCTTCTTTTCCACAGGCTGAAGAGTCCCAGATCCCTCATCCTTTCCTCGTATAGGTTATAGGTCCCTCTGCCAACCTCTCTGCTGTTTGTCCAGTGCTGAGAGCAGACACTTGCCCACACATCACTTTTAGTGATTTGACAAGAGGAGCTTTTGACAACAGCTGACTTGACTTCGGAGTCTTGCGGCAGGATTTCACTGTTCTAGAAAATTGCTGTTGGACCGGAGACAGCTCCACGGTGGGATACCTGATAGGGCAGAGGTCACCGGCATCCTCCTCGACCCTTAGCTGTGCCCAGTGGTGTCAGACAGATGTCAGAGGGCTGGTTCTGTTCGCACGACTGCGCAGCAGGCTCGACCAGTGCCTGGGACTGCAGCATGGCTACAGCTCTGCGTCCAGACATCAGGAGGCAATTTAAACTTTCCATGTCCCAAGGAGCCCAGCGGGT